CCCCAAAACCCCAAAACCCCAAAACCCCGTTTCAATCATTTTCCTTTGAAACTCAATATAACAATTCCTCCAGCTTTAAATTATCCGGTATCAGATACATTTGGAGGATATAATGTGGCTAAAATGCCGAATTCTGGCTCCACCCAGTCAAGTATCTCTCCTGCGGTTTCTTGTTTTCCAAGGGGGAATCTTCCGATGACGATTTCTCTGAATTTTGAGCTGACTGCTCTACGAAACTCCTCTGAATTCTGTATTATTTCTGATGGCTCTTTGAGCGAATTTTTAGCGTCATTGCAGTATTTAAATAGAAGGAATTTCAGCAAAATTGATCCAGCGAGGTGTTCTGGTGTTGAACTAACAGAGTCTAAATAGGATTATGAGGTAAATTACTGCTTAAAGCTTTCCTACATCCAAATATTTGAGCTCTGAGAAACTCCACAGCAGAAGCAGATTTCTTAAAATTAGTGGCAAGGAACTCTTCCTCGCCTTTCCTCCTCCGGTCAATATGAATCAACTCGATCTTCAGGTGTGAATGATGCTTCTTCAGAAGATGCGCCTTACGAAAATCTTCAAACCTAGGATAAAAAGATTTCATAAAAAGACCCCAGAGCTTCAGCATCTCTTGGTCATCATTGACCCATGAATCATCTTCGGCTATACCCAATCATGGTTAAAATCCTCAAGGATACTCCAAAGCTTACCAATATTCTGAATTAGAGGCAGACACCTTTCTTCTGTTAAAGAAGGAAGAACGTATCTTTGGAAACACTTGAGGTCTTTTTTAGGAATCTCTGGCGTTCTGGTTATCTCTTGTTTCCTTTTTCTGGTAGGTCTTTGTCAAATTTTGTGGCAGTTCACCACCTGACTTTAACTGAGCATCTAAAGGGATTATAAACTGTATCTTACTTAGTGTCTGATTTAGAGGGAGTTTAGACTAGGCAACTTCCTAATAATGAGGTTTTAGATGTGTATGGTACGAATAAGCCAAAAGATAGTAAACAAATTAGAAAAGTAAGCTATTCTGGTTAAAACTTGTTCATAAACATCCAGATGAGTTTACTGCCTAAAATAAATTTCATAATCAATTTGTGTATATTTCATCAGAAAATTTACAAAATGGGGAATCTTGGTGATTATTCTGCAAAACAATTCATCAATTTTAATGAAACTTTACTGGGTAGCATTTTTCTCCTTTTTGACAATCCAAGCTAATATTGAATTTACTTTCTTGGAAATGAAATCTAAACCGACATCGTAATTCATTTTTACTCTCTCAGAATGGGCAGTCTTGGGGATGAGTTTTCCCTTGATCCATGTTTAGACAGGAGCTTGAATGAGAGCTCGAATAAGACTTTAAAGAGCTTTCAGTCTCTGAACTCTGAGACTTCTCTGTCTACAAAACAAGTATAAATACTGAGAAATCAATGGGGAGTACAAAACCAGACATGTGCCTTTCAGCAAAGGTTATTACACTTTTAGTTAGATTTGATTGTCAATTATCCTGAATTGGGTTTCCATTAAAAGGATTTCGAATTATTTCTGAATATTCTAAGAATCCCATCATTCTTTCATAATCGTTATCTCAATTTTTGAAACCATCGGGAGATGTAGACTCCATGTTAGTTTTCCTATTATAGATTCCAAAAAATATATTTTTTAAGGGGTTTTGGGGTTTTGGGGTTTTGGGGTTTTGGGG